CCAGGGTGCTGGGCCGCGTCCCACGCGGGAGCCCCGGAGAAGTGGGGAAGGAACCGCGCGGAAACTCTCGAAACTTCGGGAGTAAAAACCGTGTTGGGGGAGGAGCGCAGGCCCTGCCCGGTAATCTCAAGTGCGTTCAGATTTGCTGTTTTCGCGCCTCTCGCGAACCCGAAGTGACTTTATTAGCTTGGGAAAATGAAAAAGTGTACATCGGGCGCCCAGGGGGAAGCCAGCGAAGCCTAGATAAAAGTTTTAAAACTCCCTTTTTGGTTTCCCAGAACAAATGTGAAGACTTTAGGAGAAAACAAAAATTAAAATGAAAAAGCCTCCTCTCCCTGTTGGGTGGGGACTCTTGAGTCTCTTCCCCCTCCCACGGGGCCTGCTCCCTGAGATCCTTGCCGGGAATCCTTCAGTGGCTTTGGCTCCAGGCTGGGATCAAAGCAAGTGTAAATCAATCCATCCCTAAATCGGGCCCGCAGGCATCTTGAGGAAGCCCTCAGTCTGGGACCCATTTTCCTCAAGACGTGCTGAGGCATCCGTTTTTGTTGTTGTTGAGTCGGAGTCTCACTCCGTCGCCCGGGCTGGAGCGCCGTGGCCCATTCACGACCACCCCAGCGTCGACCGGCTGGGCTCCGGCGATCCTTCCGCCTCAGCCTTGCAAGTAGCCGGAACGACTGTGCTGAGGCATCTTGAATAAAACGTTGTTGGCAAGTTAAGCTTTGTGTTCTGTCCTTTCTGCATTTCTCATTCATCTTACGGTCTTCGTCTAACACGCCAGTATACTCTTCCCACAAGAAATCTGCAGGTTTGTTTCTTGGGGTGTGTTTGCTTTAGTATTTTCTTTTGGGGTGGGTGAGAAGATTCTTTCCGTAAATAACTGATCCAAGCACAAGTGTGATCAACGAACATAGGAAGAACATTAGGAAACTGATAGCCTCTCTCAGTATGGCGCGCCCCTAGAATCTGGGGCAAGGTTAGGAAGTCTTTAACAAAAAGTCAAATCAATATTTAGCATTATTCATGTTGGAAATTCTCCTTGGAGTATCTCAACCTGAGACAAACTGCAAACGTGTGCTAAAGACATTAAGAGTGTCCCTAGGATCTCATCAGGGTCAATACATTAAGGATGAATAAATACTGGCCAATTATGACCTCATAACAGTTAATGTCCAATGTAAACAGAATGGGTCCGGGGAAATGATTGGAGATGAAGAATACGTTAGTATTTAATGAGCTGTGTTCAAGGAAGAGTGCTATTTTTCACAGCTAGTCTTAGTCTTAGCTAGTTTTGTAGAAAAAACGGCCAGGCACGGTGGCTCTTGCCCTTAATCCTAGCACTTTGGAGGGTTGAAGAGGGTAGACTGTTTAAGCCCAGCAATTCAAGACCAGTCTGGGCAACATAGTGAGACCTGTCTCTACAAAAAAATTTAAAAATTAGGCATTGTGGCATGGACCTGTAGTCCCAGTTTCTACGGCAGTTGAAGCAGGATTGCCTCACCCACAGGTGAGGGTGCCACTGCACACCAGCAGGGCATGAGTGAGACTCTGACTCAAAAGAAAAAAAAAAAAAAACGTTCACATCAGCGGCTCGAACTTTAGTGTGCATCATGTTCACCTGGGGTGCTTGTTAAAATACAGACAGAATGCTAGATAAAAACCTCAGCGTTTCCAGGTCTGAGGCCAGAGAGGTTGAGGGTGATGAGAATCTGCATTTTCTAACTAGTTCCTGGGAGATGCTGGTTCTATTGGCCTGATGATCACAATTTGAGAACCACAACCCTGTTTATCAGGCTCCCATGGCTTCTTCACATTCCCAGGCTCACATTTTATAAGTATATTTTTGAAACACACTTTGCACCATAATGGGGTTTTCAAGCAGAACAGCCTGGGTATCAGGCCAGGTATAGCTCTGCTATAAATTAAAAGTATTCACCTTTAATTGGTAATCTGTCTCTGGTGAGCTTGCTTCTTTTTAGATCATATTTCCAGGGCCTGGATACCTTGGGTGAACAGACAGCATTCAGTGGAAGTCCAGCCTCTGGGGTGATGGGGTTCAGGTCACTTTGAAACAGCAAGTTATCAGCTTCTGTTGCTGAAGATGGGGTCATCGGAAGATGAGGGCCACCCGAGGCGCACTTAGCATCACTCAAAGTAGGGTCAAGACACTCAAGTGCTATTGTCCCCACCATAACATCCTCAACCAAAAGATAGGGGCAGCTCAGAGAATTCCTGTGGCCCACCTCACCCTACAATCCAGGCATGTCATTTAGATTAGGCAGTGGACCCACACAAAATTATAAAGACATCAGGAGGGGAAGCATTAGTAAGGGAAACAAGAAGTACAACCAAGTCCCCCTTCCTCCGTGAAGCTTCCCTATTTCAGACAACATTGAGCTCTTTATTCTGTGAACACTCATTATACTTTTCATTCAACAAACATTTGGTGAGCACCTACATGTGAAGCACCTGTGCTCATAGATGTGGAGGCTGATGGGACATGGTTCCTGGCTTCCCAAAGCATCCCATCCTCTGGACTGTCCATTGGTGGTCTTTTCCATCGCTCCCTTCCCACTGCAGCTGCACCCAGTCAAGCAGGTTTTCACTGGCTTTGCTTGGTCTCACTCAAAAACCTTCTAACAGAGAAAGGTTGCCAAGAAGATGTATACGTGTTTTAAGAAAGGATAAAACTGTATTAAAATTGTAATACTCAATATACCTGCCTGTTGCAAGGTGATACTACCATTTGAGCAAACATACTACACATTGCTACCATAATTCTATTAAACTTTGAAAAGTAATACATAAATAACATCTCTTAAAATGTACATACATTTTTTTGGCACCCCAGAATTTCATCCAATTTTTTAAAAAGACATAATCCTTATTAGATTAGTATTCCCAAATCACAGCTAGAATCAGGTGGTTCTTTTGCTCAACAGGTCGTTCTTTTGCGAGAGAGAGAGAGAAAGAGAAACTGAGACTTACACAATAAATGACAGGAAGCCCAATGTGGCAACAGCATGACTTAGGGTGGAAGGAGAAAAAAACGCAAGGGTGGGATATGTTGTCAAAGTCTTGCATTCTATACAAAAAAGTTTTGCTTTTTATCAGTAGCTGCTGAAAGCCACTGCAAAGTTTTGAGGACAGCTCATGTCCAACTGTGTTCAAGGAAAATTCTGGTAGCAAAAAGGATGTGACCAGTCAGGTTGCTGAGTGATCATGAGGACCCTCACTGTGGGAGTAAGGAGAAAAGACAGGATAGGTGAGACTAACATTTGGCATCTAATTCTCAGTGTTGACTTAAATCTTTTCTGACTTGATCACTCTGTCCTTCTGACAGTCTATTTCCCGTTTCCTCCTCAGCACCTAGCAGGGCAGGTTTTGTTAGAATTGGAGTCTCACTCTGTCACCCAGGCTAGAGGGCAGTGGCACGCTCCTGGTCACTGCAGCATCAACCTGCTGGGTTCAGACTACCCTCCCGCCTCAGCCTTCTAGGCAGCTGGAACTACAGGCACGCGCCACCATGCCTGGCTAATTTTTTTGTTTGTTTCTTTTTGTTTGTTTTTGAGTTGGAGTCTCACTCTGTCGCCCAGACTGGAGTGCAGTGGCCGCTCCCGGCCACTGCAGCCTCGACCTGCTGGGCTCCAGCAATCCTTCCACCTCAGCCTTCCAAGTGGCTGGAACTAAAGGCGCGCGCTACCACACCCGGCTCATTATTTGATTTATTGTAGAGACGAGGTCTCGCCAACTTGCCCAGGCTGGTCTCGAACCCGCGGGCTCAGGCAATCCACTCACCTCAGCCTCCCAAAGGCGTGGGATTACAGGCTGAGCCACCAAGCCCGGCTAATTTTTTTATTTATTGTAGAGATGAGGTCCCGCCACGTTGCCCAGGCTGGTCTTGAAACTGTGGAATCAGGCAATCCTCTCACCTCAGTCTCCCAAAGTGCTGGGATTATATGCGTGAGCCACCACGCCCAGCAGGGCAGGCTTTCAATGCAGGATAGCTTAAGCGGGCAAGAAGAGGCTAAGTTTTTGTATGACTCAAGACAGCGCTTCTATGTACAGAGAAATACCTGGAGAGCCTATTAAAATGCAGATTCGGATTCCGTGTGTCTGGGAGAGGGCCTCAACAATGTCAAGCTCCTAGGAGATGCTGATGTAACTGGTGCAGAGACTACACTTTGGGCTTAGAATGCAACTGTTACACTCAGGTACTTTCTGGCAAAAGCAACAGCAGCCCACAGCCAAGCGTGTGGCTCTGAGCAAGAGGGTCTGGGCTCACATCACCGCTGCCACGTTAGTTCACTTCTCGGGCCTCTTCCCACATCTCATGTGTAAAGTCAGGTAAAATACTCACCACACAGGGTTATATGAGGATCATTTTTACGTAAAGAACTTAAAACAGTGCCTACCAGCAAGTGCTCAACAAATGTTAGCAGTAGTCCAACAGCTTGATACAAGAGAAACTTAACTTGTCTGGAGAACCAGAACTGTATCTTGTACTTCACTTTCTCCCCACAATGCAAAGCACAAAACACTCTGGTCATACTAAAACACTCAACAGTTGGGAAGTGAGAATAATCAAGGATGGGATAGAGAGAGTATCTATAATGCAAAAGCTCGGGGGTAAGAAAGGACTGTAGAAAACCTAGAAGAAGCTCCAGAGGTTTATCTACATGTGACAAAGCCACACACCTCGCACAGCACTTGCCCTGTTATGACTTCCCTGCATGCTCACTTTCTGTAACAAGATAATCCTATGCCTTACAGCGAATCAAGTGTCCTATTTGTTCATTTTTATCCTCATGTCCCACTCACTCTCCCCAGGGGCAATTATGTCTTTAATGTGTATCTTTTTGGTTTCTAAGTGTTCTTACAAAAAGCTTTGTGTGCATGTATTTTTAATTTACATAAATGGTGTTATATAATAGATCCTGATTTCTTACCTTTTCCACTCAGCACTGTATGTTTAAGATTGAGCCAGGTGGCTTACATGTATACCTTGAGCCAATGTCCCACGGCTGCCTGGCACTTCCCTGGGGACACACTATATTTCAACTACCCTTTCTATCTCCCAATAGCCATCACCCAGATTGTCTTCAGCTCTCCACCTCCATAAGTAGGGTCATTCATGCCCTCCTTCTGTCCTACGTTTAAGTAAAAGTACAGGACAGGCTATGCTGTCAGTCCCCCTGTCATCACTCCAGGTCAGGCACCCCTCCTCCACCTTGGCCCTGTTCTTAACAAATGGAGAAGACGGGCACAGTGGCTCACGCCTGTAATACTAACACTTTGGGAGGCGGAGGCAAGGGGATTGCCTGAACCCAGGGGTTCAAGACCAGCTTGGCCAACTTTGCGAGACTGCATCTCCACAATATATTTTTTTTTAAATTACCTGGGCGTGGTGGCACATGCCAGTGGTTCCAGCTATTTGGAAGGCTGAGGCAGGAGAATTGCCTGAGACCAGTAGGTAGAGGCTGCAGTGGCCGCCAGCGTGCCACTGCACTCCAGCCTGGACAACAGAGTGAGACTCAGACTAAAAAAAAAAAATAGAGAAAAACACCTCATATGAGCCTTTTTTTCCCCACTAGTAGCAAGTTTTATTCTAGGCAACTGCAAATTATCCAAGGGGACATTCACAATGATCCAGGAGCCCTCTCCCATCTCCCCAGACTGCCAGGGAATATCCAACACTCCTGAGAGACAAGCATCTGCGTGCTTCTTCTCTATCATTTCTGGAATGGCCAATCCCAGAATGAATTTGGAAGTATAATCTGCATAGCCTCAAGTAAAGACTTCTTAATGGGAACAAACTCAAATAACCACTGGTACAAGCTGAATGACCTTAAGTAACAAAGTAGTCTCTACTCTGGGAGGCTGCAGAACCACAGAAAGGACAGGGTGGGCAGGAGAGAGGGTTCACACCTAAACTCCCAGAACCAGAGCCCTACTCTCAGCAACATCACTGGAATTTTTCTTTCCAGCAGGGGCTGCAGGGTCTCCCCCTCTGACTCTTCCTCTTGGTTCTTTTAAAACAGCCCCGTTCAAAATGCACCCCCAAAAGAGGAAGCCCAGTACCATGCCCCCTGCTCTCCAGCCTAAGTAAGTGTGGATGGGCTGAAAGAGCCCCATATGCAACTCCCTCCTAGAGGGTAGGCCCAGTCCCCATGTTAGGAACAACTTCTACAACTCTGGAAATTTAAAAAACAAGTGTTGGGCTGTATTCTTTAAAAATCAACTAAAATCTAATTTCAAAAAGGGTTCTTCAGGGCAGAGTAATCAGTTTGTTTAAATTATTTCTTCTACTTGTTATTAACAAAGACACTACAAAAAAGGAAGAAATGGAGGTTATGTTTCCCAGAACTTTTCCACATTCCCCTGTGGCATGACTCAACCCCATGGGAAGACATGAAATGCTGGGACAAGACCGCAAACCAGCCATCAGTCCCTATAGAGTCAGAAGGCCAATCCCAGCCCACAAGCATCCGCATGGATGGGAAAACCAGAGACCTGAAGGTGCCAAGAAACAGCAAACTCAACAGCAGAGTAAAGACCTGGCCCTGGACTCTTCCTCTTCCACAGGGTTTTCAGAACAGCCTTTGAGCTTGGCTTGGTACTTGGACAAGGGAAGGCAAATCAGAAGCAACTCCCCTCAGGAGGAAGTCAGTCCCTGACTCTGCACAGTGTCTCTTCGGGGGGACCAATGCCACCCCCCTCCGCCCCCCGGACGGGCGAGGGGCAGGCATCCTTAAAGCAGGCCATTGGGCCTTCCAGGCTCCAGGGCCAGCCCGCCCCGCTCCCGCTGGTGGATCTTCTGGTGCTGTAGGAGGTGCTGCTTCTGGACAAAGCTCTTCTCACACTCGGTGCAGCTGTAAGGCCGCTCACCTGTGTGGATGCGCTGGTGCCGTACCAGGTCAGACGGGTGGCTGAAGCTCTTGCCACAGTATCCACAGATGAGGGAGCTTCGGCTTTTCCTCCAAGGGATGTGGCCAGGCAGGGCAACCAGGCTGTTAGGTGAGAACCTTTCCTGTACACGTTGGCCAGCACTGGGCCCCTCCTGCAGGTGGCAGCGCTGGTGGGTCACCAGGCTCACCCTGCAGCTGAAGCTCCTCAGGCACACGTCACATTGATGTAGCTTGGCCTTCTTGGTCTGTGGTTTAAGCCGTGGCCTGGGCCTAAGGCTCTCCTCTGGCTCCTCAGGTGTGTAAGACTTCCACCCCGAATGGCTCCGCAGATGTGTGGCCAACTGCTGCTTGTAGCGGAAGCTGATCTCACACTCAGAACATTCGTAGGGGCCAGAAGCGTCCCTTTTCAGCTTCAGGCCCTGCCCACATTCCTGACCCAGCTGTGCCTGTCTATGAGATTTCTGCCTTGGGCAGCCCAGAGTTCTGCCACTGTTAGGGTTTCTACTGCCCTCAACAGGATCCTCTAGATTAGAGTCCCCAGCACCTGTTTCCAAGAGGACAGAACTGCCCTGACCACCCCAGAGCTCAGTCTGCTCCGGGCTCAGGAAAGCCTGCTCTTCAGCGATGCCCGAGAACTCTCCAGGGAGATTTGCAGAGTCTTCCTGCGTGTACTGTAGCTCCTGTTTGATCATGACCCCATCTGCTGCAAAGAGGAATAAGATCAACAAAAGATCACTTTCTAGCACCTTCGGTTTCTTTGGAGTCAAACATACAACTGCAAATTTCAGAAGCATGCCAGAAACAGGTGAATTACAATCCAGAGGAGGATGAGACTGACTAGATTCCAAGACTTGGGAAAAAGAAAACCCTATATTTGTGTATAGATATGTTGATTGGAAATTTGAATATATTACTCTTATAGAACTAGAATTATAAATGATAATTCTCCAAGCTTATCTACAAATTTATACTTAATCCCTGTGAAAATGACAAAATTCACTGTAACTACACTAATTTGATAGTGTTAAAGTAACAAATTTGAATGAGTAAAAATAAATAAACTAAACCTACAGCTTAAAAATCGATGTATCCAGCTGTTGTTCCTGCATAACCTCTCCAGATGACCTGATAAATGCTTTTCCCGTATTGCCTTCTCTCCTGAAGCTCTGACCCATCCACCCACAATGTCCCACAGGTGACTACAACCTATATGCACTCTATTCTGTAAGGCATGAAGAAGTGTGATTTGGTCATTATTCTTAAAGACCTCACAGAGTGGTAAGAGTTAAGACACACACATAGCAGGTGAACTATTGACAGTCATATTTGCTTGTCTGGAACAAGCAAATGCCAGGTGAGGTTACCAACAGTCAGTGTTTGGCAGTTCAACAGTGGGAAAGCTCACAATAGGCTGCAGAGATTTGTGAGAGTGGGGATGAAATGTTTTGGAGTCACTCACCTGGGTGGGCACCAGCAGGGCCTTCCTCCTCCAAGTCACCCAGCATCTCTGTACCCAACTCCGCTTCTCCCTCTGGCTGGCCAAGGACCTCTGGGTTGGAAACAGCATGGTGTGAGTCCAGGAGAGTAAAAGCTCACTGCACACTGGTCACTGAACAAGGTGACCAGTGGCAGGGAGTGGGTACTAAAAACTACAGCAGATTCAAAGTCTACTATTCTTGTCACTCTCCCCTAACAGTTTGGGACCCTTAGAAAATTCTGGCCAATCCTAATGATCAGTTCAGTTAGCTGCTGCTTGCAGTGCTCTGCTGTTGTGGTGGCTCAGGCAGGTGGCAGAGCCACTGCTGTCCTCCCCAGCACCCCTGCCACCACTCCTCCATGTGCACACAACTTAAGTCTTGCTAATACTTCTTCAGGGAACTCAAGTTCATCTTTGCTAAGGCACTGAAAGGTAAGGTGGGCACTGGGACAGACAAGGAAACAGCCATGGGTGAGCACGTGACCCAGCCAAGGTCACAAGGACACCTCTCCAGTCCATTTTCTACTTTCTACCCCCTTGTTCTGCTCCGAGAATAATGGCCTTCTTGATACTCCTCCATGTACCTAGGTTTAAAAGATTTTGTCCACCAAACAAAACGCATTTCTTATGTAACAGGTAGCATTTTACATACAAGTGTTTATACCTACGAAGCTGCACTTGTAATCAACATGACATAAATAATGAGACCACAATGACCTGTCATAATTCCAGCCAACTGCCAAGAAATGCTTCTGGGTAGCCTGTGCTAACTGTCTCATTCCAGGTAATTTACATAGGATTTTTGTCAAATAGTCTTAAATTTTACTTTATTTTTTTTATTTAACTTTTTTGAGTTGGAATCTCATTCTGTCACCCAGGCTAGAGTGCAGTGGCACACTCACAGCTACTGCAGCCTTGATCTGCTAGCCTCAGGCAATCTTTCCACCTCATTCTTCCAAGTAGATGGAACTACAGGCACACATACCACACCCAGCTAATTTTTATTTTATTGTAGACACGTGGTCTCACCAAGTTGCCCAGCCTGGTCTCAAACCCCTGGGCTCAGGCAATCCTCTCACCTTGGTCTCCCAAAGTGCTGGGATTATAAGTGTGAACCACCGGGCCTGGGCTCAAATAGTCTTAAATTTTAAAAACAGTATGAGGAACCCTAGCCACATCACACTATAATGTACATGATAACATCTTATCTATTAGAAAATATTATTGGCTGGGCACGGTGGCTCACACCTATAATCCCAGCACTTTGGGAGGCCCAGGCAGGAGGACTGCTTGAATCCAGGGGTCCAAGACCAGCCTGAGCAACATAACAAGTCCTTATCACCACAAAAAAATCACAAAATTATCCAGGCGAGATGGCGTGCACCTGCAATCCCAGCTACTCAGAAGGCTGAGGCACGATGATCACCTGAACCCAAGGAAGTCAAGGCTGCAGTGAGCTATGATTGTGTCACTGCACTCCAGCCTGGGTGACAGTGAGATCCTCATGCAGAAAAAGAAAATATTATCAAGAGCTGACTTTGTGACCATAGGGAATATAAAAGGTAACACACTGAGAACTTTCCAAAAGTCTCTGTAAATGGGAGGTCCTGGAGACTCCCATTTCTCAAGCCAGCAAGGTTAAACAGAGGATCCAGAGCCAATGAGAGTCATAGGTGTAGTCTAAGTCACAGCCAGGGGCCAGGAATGGTAGGATGCCTGAGGGAGAAAACTGCTACTCACTCAGAGAGACCAGTGTCTCATAGTTGCTCTCCATCACATTTCTGTAGAGCTCCTTCTGCCAGTCCTCCAGATTCTCCCACTCCTGCTCAGAGAAACAGACGCCATCATTCTCCAGTGACCTGGACATCTGGAATCACAAAGGCCACAGTGACTACCTCTACTCACAGCCATGAAGGAAAACTGAGAATCTTAGATAGCAAAGGGCTGGGCTCCCCTTCTCATCCAACTTTTAATCCTCAATGGGGCTACCTTGGGGGCCTCCCCCTTGCTGCCTGGGGGCAGCCGCAGGACCCAGAAGTTTCTGTTGCGCAGCAGGTTCTCCACGTTCTCCAGCCGCCTCTGCAGCAGCCCGTACTCCTGCAGCAGGGTCCCCAGCATGGCCCACTTGCCCTCCAGCTGGTTCCCGAACTCCACAGCTGTCTTCTCACAGTCGGCCAGCTTCTTCTCGGTTGTTCCTGTCCGCCCCTCCAGACTCTGTAGCCGGGCAGCCTGGGACTCCATCTTCTTCTCCACAGCCTGAATAGCAGCCACCACGGTCCAGAGTGAGATCTCAGTTGTCTGAAAATACGAGCTTTTTTCTGTTGCTTGTGAAGGAGGTGTGGAAGAAGCTAATGGTGTGGAGCGTCGCTTTCTCCTGTGCTGAAGGACCAAAGATACAGGGTCAGTTGGACAAGTTCATTTCCAAATATCAAGTAAAGAAAGCAATGTCCAAGTCCAAAGAGTACTCAGAGCTACCTAGTTTCTTCTTTTAATTAAAAAAAGTCATGTTCTTTTTTTTATTCTGATACTGAAAATTATATGTAGACATTATAATAACTGGAAAATATTAAGAGTGGAAAGAAAAAATTAAGTAAAATACCATCATATAGAAACAACTATTAAAATTTTGGTATATTTCCTAAAAGCTTTTTTCATCTTTTAGTTTATTTCTTTTATAGCAAAACTGAAATCATATTGTCCACATTATGCTACCCGTGTTTCACACTTAGCATATTCTATGAGACTTTCCTATGTCAGTGCTCTTTTTCAAACCAATTTCTATTTAATATAACGGACTATATGATAAATGATGACATTTACTCCCACTCTTCCCTTCACATCCCTGCTAGACTTCATAGTTGATCATGTCACCCCTGCTTGAAAACCTTTCAATGGCTCCCTACAATAAATTCAAAATTCCTTAGCAGGGCCTACAAAACATAACTCATTCATCTTTACAGTCTAGCAGCTGAGATGGTGAATACATCCTTAATACACATTTAATGAAATGATGTGGCTAAATGTACAGACATTTTCCTTATAATTTTCATTTTTATGATCTGTCCCTGATAGTAGAAAAATCACTGTAGTTGAAGCTCAAAATTACTGAAGCTAACACTGGGGAAGTCTTTCTGTAGCTGTCCCCTTACCCCCACTGTCCCACTACATATTCACCTCTGTCCTAATGTCCCAAAGCTTCATAATCTTTTATATAGCACACACTTTATTCAAGGTTGCTTCTCTAACCACAGTAAGGCCACTGAGACCAAGACATTGAGAGGAAATATATTTGAAAGAACTGCGGAAATGCAGTGGCTCACATCTGTAATCCCAACATCACTTTGGGAGACTATGGCAGGAGTGCTTGAGGCCAGGAGTGCGAGAGGGAGAGAGGGAATGAGGGAGTGGGGGGGGGGTGAAGGGAGAGAAGAAAGACAAAGGGTCAGGGGTCACATTCTGGAGAAACAGGGGACAAAATGAAACTGACTAGCCCAGAAGTGAACACTTAGGTTTGGCCACAACCTATCCCAATTATTCAACTCCATTAATTCATCATGGAACACATGACACAAAAAGCTTAAATATTCCTCTCCCACAAAAGATGCTAAGAAACATGTAATATAAAAGACAAATACAAACGAAACTAAACAAAATATTAAATTGGATAAATTCATTTCATCATGCTTGTTTTGCTTCTAACTTTAAGTTTCTAAGACTCTAGATATTTGGAGTCTCCTTCTCTTTCCTTTCTGTGGCCCAGCATTTTGTTGTTTGCTAGCACTTTCTCTAGCAGGAAGATAGTTCAGGACCTAAGCAGTGAAATGACCCTCTTCCTCTTGCACAGAGTTAAGGCTGAAAAAAATGGGTAAACCACATTTCTTCTTTTCTTTTGTTTTAAATAATCTAGCATGATGAAAACTCAAATGTTCACCAACCATTGAAAGGACAAACAAATTGTGGTCCATCCAAACTTATGGGTTGAAATCGGTCTCCCAAAAATGGTATGTTGAAGACCTAACACTTAGGACCTCAGAATATGACCTTATTTGGATATAGGGTCGTTCCAGAGGTAATCAAGTTAAAATGAGATCATTACGAGAGGCCCTAATCCAATGACTGGTGTCCTTATAAAACAGAGGACATTTGGACAAAGAGACAGACACACAGAGGGGAAGATATGTGGAGGTACACACAGGAAGAAGATGGCTGCTATAGTTGGGATGTGATTTGTCCCCCGCCAAAATCCATGTTGAAATTTTATTCCCAATGTGGCAGTGTTGGGAGGTGGAGCCCAGTAAGAGGTACCTGGGTCATGAGGAAAGATCCCTCGTGAATAGATTAATGTCCTCCCATGGGGGCAAGTGAGTTCTTGCTCTGGCAGGAAGGGGCAAGTTACCATGAGAGCAGGTTGTTCAAGAGTCTGGCTTCCAGCCTCATTTTTCGCTCCTGCTTCCTCTTTCATGTGTGCTCTCTTTACACATGCCTGCTCCCTTTCCACTTTTTGTCATGAGTTGAAGTATCATGAGGGCCTGACCAGATACAGTTGCCCAATCTTGAACTTTCTAGCCACCAGAATTGTGAACCAAACAAACTTATTTCTTTATAAATTACCCAACCTTAGGTATTCTGTTATAGCAACACAAAATAAACTAACATGATGACCACATCAAGATGAAGGCAGAGATGAGAGTTATGCTGCCACAAACCAACAAAATACCTGAGGCCACCAGAAGTTAGGAGACAGGCATGAACCTCATAAGGAACCAACTCTGCAGACACCAGAACCTCAGACTCCCAGGCTCCAGAACCGTGAGATAATAAGTTTCTGTTGTTTAAGCCACCCAGTTTGTGATACTTTATTACAGCAGCTCTAGGGAGGGAATACACTATACAATAGACCACTAAGCAATAAAAGGGAACAAAAACCACTGACACATGTAATAACATGCTAAGTGAAAGATGTCAGGCACAAAAGGCTACATACTGTTATCTTACTTATATGATATTTGGGAAAAGGCAAAACTGTAGAGACAGAAAGCAGATCAGTGGTTGCCAGAAACTGAGGGTAGGAGAAAGAGATTGATTATAAAAAGACATGAGGGAACTTTCTGGGATAAAGGAAATATTCTCTGTCTTGGTTATATAATAGCTACACATTTATCAAAACTCTCTGAACTATATGCCTAAGAGTAAATTTTACTGTATTTATTTTATTTTATTTTTTTGAGTTGGAGTCTCACTCTGTCGCCCAGACTGCTGGAGTGCAGTGGCCGCTCCCGGCCACCGCAGCCTCGACCTGCTGGGCTCCGGCAATCCTTCCGCCTCAGTCTTCCGAGTAGCTGGAATTACAGGCGTGTGCTACCACGCCCGGCTAATTTTTTGATTTTAGTGTAGAGATGAGGTCTCGCCTGCCCAGGCAGGTCTTGAGCCCGCAGGCTCAGGCAATCCACTCACCTCAGCCTCCCAAAGGCGTGGTATTTACAGGCTGAGCCACCAAGCCCGGTTAATTTTACTGTATTTAAATGGTATCTCAATAAATTGGTCTTAGAATGTCAAGGTAAGAAAAAATGTTAGTTGTAATAGAAAGCACCATAAACAAAGTCTAAAAACAAATAAGGAGAGAATATTTGTAAACAGGATATGAAGTGAAAAGAAAAAGTAGATAACTCAAAAATAAAACTGCATATTATAATTCATTTATGAAAGTATAAATGCAGGCAATCAATAAACAAATGAAAAAACAACCACCTACAATATGAAATGCAAATACAACCAAGTGAAACCACTTTTCACCCAGTGGACTGACACACATGAAAAAGAGAAAGACAAGATCCTTTTGTAGTTCATAAGCAGAATGACTGGGTGTGAGATGTGCCTCCCTCAACCCTGCTAATAGATGAGTAACATAGCCGGGCTCGGTGGCTCAGCCTGTAATCCCGTGCCTTTGGGAGGCTGAGGTGAGTGGATTGCCTGAGCCCGCGGGTTCGAGACCCGCCTGGGCAGCAAGACCTCATCTCTACAATATATCAAAAAAATCAGCCAGGCGTGGTAGCGCACACCTGTAGTTCCAGCTACTCGGAAGGCTGAGGCGGAAGGATCGCCGGAGCCCAGCAGGTCGAGGCTGCGGTGGCCGGGAGCGGCCACTGCACTCCAGTCTGGGCGACCGAGTGAGACTCCAACTCAAGAAAAAAAAAAAAAATAGATGAGTAACACATTACTCATCTGACGTGAAAAAAGAAAAAGAAAGACAAGGAGTAACATTCCAAGCTGACCATAATGTGGTACACTGACACTTTCATAACACTCCTGGAAGGAATGAAAAATACCACAAACTCTTAACAGAAGGAAATCTCAGGTTATTAAAAACCCTTTCACCTAGCAACCCACTTAGGGAACATAACTTATAAAAACGACTGGCATTAAAATTTAATGACATGCATATAAAGATGATTACTGGTAACACTTTTTCGAATGGTCAAAACCCGGAAATAACTTAGATACACATTAATAAGAGAATGGTTAAATTGTGGCACAACCAAAGATATATTAATAAAAAGTAGTTAGATCTATATATATGGTTTGGAAAAGTGTTCATCATACATTGATAGGTTAAAAACCCAACTTTTAGGAAGATTTATTCATTCATTCATTCGAGTTGGGGTCTCAATCTGTTGCCCAGACTGGAATGCAGTGGCACAATCACAGTTTACCATAGCCCTTCATCTCCTGGGTTAAGGCAATCCTTCTGCCACAGGCTCCCAAGTAGCTGGAACTACAGGCGCACCACCACACCCAGCTAAGTTTTTCATTTTTTGTAGAGACAAGGTCTCACTATGCTGTCCAGGCTGGTCTCAAACTCCTGGGCTCAAGCAATCCTCCCACCTTGGCCTCCCAAAGTGTTGGGATTACAGGCATGAGCCACTGTGCCCAGCAAAATATATCTATTATATCCCATTTTCCTAAAGAAGCAAAAATATGTGTGTATATGTTTGTTTCAGCCTAAAGAAAGGTTTGGAAAGATATCTGCCAAATGAATGTTAGCATGGGTCACCCTCGGGGGATGAAGAGAGATTTTACGCTTTCATTAAAAACGATCGCTTGTTTGACTTTTCAATAAACTTTTCATAATTCTTTTTTTCTTAAATTCAATTTTTTTTTTTTAAGTTGGAATCTCACTCTGTCACCCAGACTGGAGTGCAGTGGTACGCTCACAGCCACCACAGCCTCGACATGCTGGGCTCCAGCAATCCTTCTGCCTCAGCCTTCCAAGAAGCTGGAACTACAGGAACGTGCTACCATGCCTGGCTAACTTTTTTTAATTTATTGTAGAGATGAAGTCTCGCCAAGTTGCCCAGGTGGGTCTCGAACCCGCGGGTTCAGGCAATTCACTCACCTCAGCCTCCCAAAGCGTGGGATTACAGGCTGAGCCACCGAGCCCGGCTCTTAAATTCAATATTTAAGAACATTCTTGAAGGTGAGAATACACTTATGCTGACCATATTTCTAAATTTTCTGGCACGGTCCTGGCTTTGAAAATCATATCATTAGCCGGGCCCAGTGGCTCACACCTGTAATCCCAGCACTTTGGGAGGCGGAGGTAAGAGGATTGCCTGAGCTCAGGGGTTTGAGACCAGCCTGAGCAACATGGTGAGCTATCATTTCTACAATAAATCAAAATATCAGCTGGGCGTGGTGGCACATGCCTGTGCGTCCAGTTATGTGGAAGGCTGAGACAGAAGAACTGCCTGAGCCCAGAAGGTTGAGGCTGCAGTGGCTGTAAGCATGGCCCTGCACTCCAGCCTGGGTGAAAAGTGAGACTCCGACTCAAAAAAAGAAAGAAAAGCATATCGTCAGATCATGTATCAAACAATGGGCATATTTATGGTCTGAAAACCTCATCACTATTAAGTACAAAATACAGTCCCATTAAGGAAACTATAATCTGCTTGAGTGAAATGCAAAACAATTAAACAACATTCTAAAGTAATATTTGTTAGACTACATGACATCTGAGGTCATTTCCAGCCATGAGATACTATTACTTTCTAATAGTGAATAGTTTAAAAAGGAATACTTACATAATACATAAAAAGAATAAAGTAGAGACAACAAATATTCATATAACCACCAGTCATTTAAAACACACACACACATACACACACACACAATTACTTCTGACATCATTTGTGCGACTCTTTGAATTTGGTTTTTCAAAATTAATTGCCTTTTTTCATGTTTCCAAAACAAAATGTTCTTTAGTTTTGCCTGTTTTAGGATTTTGTATAAATGGAATCATTCTTCTACAACTCCTAAAAAATCTGTTATTCCATGTGGCTGTAATTAATTCACTTTCACTGCTGTATAATATTTACTGTGTGACTATACCATAATTTATTTTTCCTTTCCTCTGCTGATGATTCCACACTTTTGTCATTACAAACAGCGATATGTTGAACAGGACTGTACATGGTTCCTAGCACACACACATGAACAAGAGTTTCCCTACTGTCTTCTAAACACTTTATAGTTTTTTCTTTTACATTTAAGTACTTATCTCAACTAGAACTGATATGTATGTATAGTGCAAGGCTCAATTTCCCAATCAATAAATCTAACACTATCTAGTGAAAAAATCCATCATTTACCCATTGATTTATAATGTTATTCTCATCACAAATGAAGTTTTCATACATATAGTCTATCTGGCATCTTTATTCTGCTCTACAGGTCAATTTTTCTATCACTTTATCAATATTAGTCTTAATGACCACAGTTTTAAGATAATTATTGACATCTGGTAAGGCAAGTAGCACTTCCTTGTTCTACAGGAATATCGTGACTATTTTTGGCCCACTGATATTAAACAAACTTGAAGACTTTTCACAAAAATATCTTTAGAGATTTTGTTTGGAATTACATTAAGTCCACAGATAAATCTGAGAAGTGACATTTTTAGAATAAAATGTTTTAATCCAGCCAGGCACAGTGGGTTATGCCTGTAATCCCAGCACTTTGTGAAGTAGCAGTGAGAGAATCACCTGAGCTTAGGGGTTCGAGGCCAGCCTGAGCAACATGCTAAGACCTCATCTCTACAATAAATAAAAAAATTAGCCGGGCATGGTGGCACATGCCTGTGGTTCCAGTTACTTGGAAGGTCAAGGCTGCGGTGGCTGTGAGCATGCCACCGTACTCCTGCCTGGGCAACAGAGTGAGACTCCAACTAAAAAAAAAAAAAAAAAAAGCTTTACTCCTTACACGTAGTTTGCCTCTTCATTTGTAATACCTTTCAATATTTCAACATATCCCCTAGGTACCTGCTCCAATCACTGACAGCTACATAACAAATATCGAAACATAGAAACTCACTGGATGCTTTCAATTAGTTTTAACCTTTAAGCTACGAGATGAGGGTGGTAGGAGATATTTCCCAACACGTATTGTGTAAACTCAAATGTTAGGTTCTTCTTTGGAATTAAACAGGTGTTTACAAGGTTATTTCAGAGTTTTGAAAACAGTTTTTCCCCTATATTTCTCTATTCAATTTTGGCTGCCACAATCAGACAGACAGAAAGTGCGAGGACATTTTTTTCTTGCATCTGTAGTGGAAACCTTAGCAGCAGAAACTACTCCAGATCTGCCAAATAGATGCATGGTTTGGTCATTTGTGTAATCTCTTGGCCTTTACTCATATTTTCCATCCTTTCTTTTAGCTTTAAATGTAATAAGCATAGTTATTCCATATTCTGAAAACCTTGAAGGTTGTCCATCATTTTTTGCTGGCTATTCCTCGCGGTTTTTCTTTGCTTGTTTAGTAATTTTTTATTTATTTTTTTACTATTTATTCCACTATTTTATTTTATTGTGAACTCATATATCTTAGAATTTTAGCTATGAGAATTATGTGAAGACTGAGTTACATGTAGATTCCTCCAGAAAAGATCTGTGTTTATTTCAGATAGAAAGCAAGGAGTGCTACTTTAAACTTGGCTTGAGGTTTACTGGACCACCCAGTTACCATGAATTCAAGCAACAAACCCACATGAGGGTCACCATGAATTCTCAATAGGCACAATTCAACTACTTCAAAAGCAAGCACTATGCTCTCTAGGCCTTCTAATCTCGTCTTAGTTCTTACCCACTTCCTACAAGAACCAAAAATAGTGCGCGCTACTCATGGTAAAACTTTCACCACAGAGTCTCCTTAGCCCTCCATTTTCACAAAGAGCTCACCTGATTCTGAAAGTGGTTCTGGACCAAGAAACGCTTCATTAAAAATCACTTCAATTGGGTGCAAAGGCTCACGCCTGTAATTCCACTGCTTTGGAAGGAAGGGGTAGGAGGATTGCTTGAGCCCAGAAGTAGGAGACCAACCTGGGTAACATAGCAAGACCTAGTCTCTACAAAAAATTTAAAAATTAGCCAGATGTGGTGGCAGACGCCTGTAGCCCTAGCTACTCAAGAGGTTTAGGTGGGAGGATTGCTTGAGCCCAGGAGGCCAAGGCTGTGGTCAGCCGTGATCGTGCCACTGCACTCCAGCCCGGGTGATAAAGACCCCGACTCAAAAAAAAAAAAAAAAAAAAATCAATTCCATCAGCCCTTTCCATTGCAAATCTTCCTGTATTACTGACATAACTCTACTCTGAAATAGTATGAGACTATGGAAGGAACCTTGGAGATCATCCAGCAACTAATCCAACACTTTCAATGTAGAGATAAGGAAAACGAGGTACAGAAAGGTGATACGGGTGCCCAAAATCACCCAATTAGGTGAGAGTTGAGTTATGGCTGAACTCCAGTTTCCCGAACCCAGTCAAGATTTTGTTCACACCAAGATCCGTATCTTGACATTCCCTGAATGGGATGGTTGGGTGAGAGGAAAGTGAAGGAGAGAGAACTTGGACAGCTCTACAAAGTCCAGCAACTACACTGTAGGTAACACCTGACCCTGGGGAGAGGAAGTCCAGCCTGACTTTATTTATTTAGAGTCAGAGTCTCACTCTGTCACCCGGTTTCCGCTGGGCTCAGGCGATCCTTCCTCCTCAGCCTTCCAAGTAGCTGGAACGACAGAAGCACGCCACCACGCCCCGCTAATTTTTTGATTTACCGTAGAGACGAAGTCTCACCAAGTTGCCCAGGCTGGTCCCAAGCCCCTGGACTCAAGCAATCCTCTCGCCTCCGCCTCCCAAAGTGCTGGGATTACAAGCTTGGGCCACCGAGCCCTTCAACCTGTGGCTGCAACTCCCGTACAGAAACCCGTAGCACGAAAGTGTGGCAGAAGAACGTGCAACGCACGGGTGGTCGCAGACAGGCAACGAGTCGTGAGCTCTCCGGGGCACCAGGTGAGCTCACCGGTAGCGAGCGAGGCCCACGGTTCCCAACCTGTGCCACGGCTGCAACCTGGAAACGAGCTCTCTTCTGGCACGAATGAAAATGTGTGGGCAGGGTCACAAATCCAAGAACATGAAACAAGCCTGGGAGAAGTTTCGGGGCGAAGGCGCGCGGCGCCGAGGCTCCGACCCCAACGAGGAAGGAACCGGAGAGGAAGAGGCCCGAGACTGAGGGTCGCGCAGAGAAAAGTCTGCATTCACCCGCGCCAGCCAGAGCCCCGGGAAAACAGCCCGGACGGAGTCCCCCGCCACGGAGCCCCGCCCCGGGCAAGGGGGCTCCGCCACCCCGAAAGCACCCTCAAGGCTGCGCCAGGGCGCCTCTTACCCGAGCGGGCGCCGACTCCGCCATGACTCCAGTCGCCCCTCAACACCCGGCCAGCGCCTGAGAGTCCTCGGGCGGCGTGCCAGCCCTCTAGCCGCCCCAGAGCCTCCTGGAAGCCGCCACCGCCGCGGTGTTGATACAAGGTGCATTCTGGGAACGGGGCCCTCCCCGGCCCAAGACCGGCTTCAGCCGCTCATCCTCACTCAGCGGGTATCCTATTGCGCCGCCGTGCGGCAGGAGGGCGAACAGCCGCCTGGAACTCCCGAGCGGGGCGAGCAGGAGCAGGGGTGGGAGCGGGGGAGCGGAGGGGGCGTGTACCAAGAGGATGCAGTCCCTCAAAGTCAAGAACGGGTTCCGAATTTAAGGGAAACCCACGGGTCTTTGCTGTACCTTCTGTGTGCTTGGCGCTCTGCTAAATTCTTTGAGAGGTTCAAAAATATATAAAACTCGGACTATTTCTAGTTATCTAGTTGAGGAAGACAGGTATGGTCTCAAATGGCAAGTGATTTTATTCCTGAAGTTCGCCTGTTATTTGCCTTTTTAGAACCTAGACACAGTCGGGTGCAGTAGCTCACGCCTGTAATCCCAGCACTTTGGGAGGCGGCGGTGAGAGGACTGCCTCTGTCCAGGGGTTCAAGACCAGACTGAGAAATTTGGCGAAACCTCGTCTCTACAATCCATCAATAAAAAAATATTTTAAAAAAAAATTAGCTGGGCAACTTTTTCAGGTCCCCTCCCACTGTGGGAGCTTTCCTGTACTCTCAATAAATCCTACTTTCTAAAAAAAATAATTAGCTGAGCGTGGTGGTGCACACCTGTGGTTCCAGCTACTTGGAAGACTGAGACAGAAGGACCACCTGAGCCCTGCAGGTCGAGGCTGCAGTAGCCGCGAGTGCATCGCTGCATTCCAGCCTGGGCGAGAGTGACTCTGACTCAAAAATAATAATAATAAAAGAAACTAGAAACATCGTTTCCATACCAACAACGTGAGATCAAGTGCCCAGGCCAACCCACTGTAGCCTATTAATTACAGTGATCACCTGCTTTAGAAAATCCAAGGCAGCCCTAAATTCAAATATTTTTAGTCCTCGTGCTGCATATTAGACAATGTGTTCAGAGTTTTGGTTTAGAAAGCATGGTCACATTACCATTTAATCCCTATATACTTAATACCAGCTATACAACTATAACAATACTTGCTTCATGTATACCACATTGTCTCTCTAGAGACAGGCAATGAACTTTCACGTGATATGATAGGGACGAAGTGCTTCCTCTGGGAACTGAACTCTTAATTAAAAGCGAAAGAAAACTGTTTTCATGTGACAGGCTCCTTCTTCACATGCAGGGCTTAGTTTACACACTACTTCCTCAGAGAGACATTTCCGGTCCACGCTGTTTGCAGCCTCACACCATCCTCCATCCAATACTTAATATCTCATTACCCCGCTGGAAATTTTTCATAGCATTTATCCCTATCTGAAATAATCTCTTTTTCATGTTACATGTTTACATGTTAATTATCTGTATCTCTCCCACTAAAATGTCTTTCTACTATATTGTCCTTTTATTGTGCACAGAAGTGCTCATAAATATTGTTGAATGAGTGAATGGAGAATCAGAGAATAAAGATATGAAAAGTCATCTCAAAGAGAAGACATGATTTCCAGGGTAACCAGATCCACAGGAGCTTGGCTGAATCCTTAATAAATCTAAAGACAGAATGGGTCAGTATGAAGAAACTAGTCAGCCACAAAGATACTGCCCAGGGTCTGACCTGCTCTCTCATGACAACAAACATTTGCTGTCAGATATAGGAAAAAAAAAATGTCTCAAGATTGTGGAGACAGACATATCAGGACATAGGATACTGAGGTCACTAAACAGTTCAGTCATAGAACTCACTCCCTCTACTCTGTTTCTGTGTTCATCAGGCAACCTTCTGACAATGCAGTTTCCCACATTGCTTCTGGGAGACAATGTGCAGGTCAGGCTGATGCAAATGTCCACTCCACCCCTGGGAATTATTAAACTGATATTCTGGCTTATATCTTTTGAGACTCAGCATTCCTGACTCTGAGTGTGGAAGTATGGGAAAGGGCTTAGATCGAATGTCCAGCCTGGTTTGCAGTCTCCTGGGCTGGCAGAGCTGGTGTTAGCAGGGTGATTTGCAAGGTGGGGCTGAGGAGTGGTCACTAGATGTGGACCTTGGGCAAGTCTTTACCTTCTTAGTATCTCCATTTCCTCATTATTATTGGTGAATAATAAGAGTACTTAGCTCATGGAGTTGAATGGATTAAATGAGTTAATTCACATATCTGTCACGGAGTTAAGAGCTCAAGGAGTACTCGTGATCATTATTATTCTTTGAGCCCCAGGCCCCTCACTTACTAAGTGGTGTGGCTTATGCTCACTCTGCCTCAGTATCCTTGTCTTCCACTCAGAATGTGAACACCTCATCCTAGGGTTGTTGATGGAACTAAAAGAAATAATTCGTCAAGTGCTTACGTGACTAAATGTCTGGCATACACCAAGCATTTAGTAAAAGGCAATTTCTTGGTTCTGCTTTACTTTTGCAAGTTCCAAGGCTTGTATTTCAATGAATTCACCAATACAAATGTTGCTTTGTTGTGTCTCTTAGAAGCCACCCATTTGTCCTTTCCTACTGACACTCAAATCTTGACACATGTTTTTTTAAACTTTTAAATGAGGTTCACAATTATTATCACTGGTGGCAGTGATATTAGATGAATCATTAAAATAGACACTCAGTGCTTGAAGCCTGTCATTTCTACATCTATAGGATATGAATGCAAAATGTAGAGCTGAAAATGACCTTAGACATCATCCCACCCACACCCTCATTTTTAGTGAAAGAAAAAAATATTCTTTGAATCACAGATAACATACATTAAGTTAAAATAATGCTTTAAAAATGTATCTTATCTTTTAAACTTTCTATTGTATGTATAATTTATAGCATACCTATTAGCATATACATGTAAGTGTAAACTTTTTTTTATTGAGTCAGAGTCTCACTCTGTCACCCAGGCTAGAGTGCAGTGACATGATAATGGTTCACCATAGCCTCAACCTCCTAAGCTCAGGCAATCCTTCCACCTCAGCTTTCCAGGTAGGTAGAACTACAGGTGAATGGCACCTTGCCTAACTAGTTTTTTGTTTGTTTGTTTGTTTGTAGAATGAGGTCTCACTATGTTGCCCAGGTTGGTCTCAAACTCCTGGGATCAAGTGATCCCTTGCCTTGGCCACCCAAATTGCTGAGATTACAAGTGTGAGCCACCAAGTCCAGCCTCAAGAATGTTTACAAGCCTTGGCTTTATTCTACTCAGTGGAGACTCTTCCTGTTCTGTTGCCCTTGCAATCCTGCAAGTCCCTGGATGGCAAGGACCACACCTTTTCTGTTCCTTCATAACCCTCTGGAGAACACATACTACTAGACTTCCAGGTCAATGAAGCTCCTAGAAGGAACACGCCTGGGTTCAGGGTGCCTTCCCTGCTGTAGATGTGTCTATAGTAGACACCCACGAACTTCATCAGTCCAGCATGCCTCCTTTTCTCTGGGCATTGAACCTCCCTCTCTTTGGGAAATGTTCCTCCCTAGGCTCTAGCCACATAATTCAAATGTGTCCTGCTATCTTCTTATGTGGCAACGCCTGCCTGGTCTTAGTAACTGTTGGAATGATAGGCACTTGACTCAATTCAATCCGATCATATTACCCTAGCCTCCTGGCAACAGTAATGAAGCCAGGGTGGATATGTGACCTGAGCCGGACCAATCCAAGCTCTTCACTGAGCTGTATTCTACCTGAGCTGAGGGAAAGGACTGATTTCCTCTCTGGTGAAGCTATAAGTCTGTGAGTCAGGAATAATCTTGTCCTCCATTTTAAAATTTATTTTAATTTAACTTATTTACTTTTGAGTCAAGTCTCACTCTGTTGCCCAGGCTGGAGTGTAGTGACATACTCATGGCTACCACAACCTCAACTTGCTGGGCTCAGGCGATCCTTCTGGCTCAGCCTTCCAAGTAGCTGGAACTACAAAGTGCGTGGCAGCATGCCCGGTTAATTTTTTTTTTTAATTTATTGTCGTGATGAGGTCTCACCAAGTTGCCCAGGCTGGTCTCCAACCCCTGGGCTAAGGCAATCCTCTTGCCTCAGCCTCCTAGGCATGAGCCACTGTGCTTGGTTATCCTCCATTTTTTTTTTAAGTAAGTTGGTTTGAAAGAATGATCCCAACAGAGAAAAGAGTAGAGATGAGAGAAAGATTTTTGTCTGTGTCCAGGATTGGTTCTTCAACTGTTCCTTAGAGTCTATAAATGATTCGAGGTTCCCCCTAGAAGGTTCCTCTTTCTCCTTGGTTAGCCTGTCAGTTTCTGTTGATTGCAGCTGGAAGCACATTGATCAAAGTACGATAGCATTTTGTATACCTGAACAAATGAAAGGCCCCAGGGGGATGGGGGGTTAAGGAGTGCCTCCTATTCTGTCTTTGTGTTTTTCTAAGCCACTCAGTTTCTTGGATTTGTAGATACTTCTCAAATCTCTGTGGGAAATCAGGAAAGGACATATCTAGAGTGGTGTCTTCAGGGATGAGGTGGAACCAGAGCTAGGACTTGAGATACCGGGACTTAGATGCAGCTGCCCTGGCCCAGGACGTCTCAAGAGCAAAGGTGGAAGTAAGCATGGTATGGTTTGGAAGTGGTTAAGAGACAAGCCTGGCTGAGCACAGGAGGGCAAGTTTGGACAGTAGGTGATAGAGCAGAGAGAGCTTCCACTGACAGGCTAAATGTCTGTGGTGCCATGATAGGTGCAGTGTGGAGAAAGAAATGCAGCTTTAAAATCTGACGGTAGGCCGGGCATGGTAACTCATGCCTGTAATCCCAGCATTTTGGGAGACAGAGGCAAGAGGACTGCCTGAGCCCAGGAATTCACAACCTGGGCAACAAGGTGATACCTCATTGCTACAATAAAATTTAAAAATTAACTGGGTGTGACAGTGCGTGCCTGTAGTCCCAGTTACTTGGGAGGCTGAGGCGAAAGGATTGCCTGAGCCCAGCAGGTTGAGGTTGTGGTAGCTATGATAGTGTCGCTGCACTCTAGCCTGGGCAACTGAGTGAGACTCCGACTCAAAGAGAA